GCTGGCACGACTTTCTTTTTTTTTTTGCCACTTCTAAATTTTTTTTTATGTTAAGTGTGATGTTAAACAGGGACCCGTATTTGCTTAAACAAAGTCTATTGAATCGTGTTATTTAGTCCCGCAAAATTTCTGGTGGCTATTATGTTTAGCTCGAAATTAATGGTGGCAAAGATTTTCTCAAGTTTTGCCTAAGCATTGTGCGTTAAGGGATAAAACTAGCTCACCGCACCGACAACAACCTCTCACTCAAAGGACTGGTAAAGACACTGGAGTCCAACGAAAAACTAATGTTTGGGTTTTTGGAAGATTTGCCAGAAACACACTCTAATATTGAACAAATCTGGTCACTGATTAATGCAAATGGAGTTAAACTAATTTTGGCTTGTGATATGAAAGTTGCAAATATAATTTGTGGTCTTCAAACTCATTCAAGTATGCACCCTTGCACCTGGTGTAACGTCAAATCCTATTGTCTTGCCAAATCTGGAAACTTGCGAACACTGGGTTCAATTAATATAAGCCTTGAGTCTTTTCAGCTATAGGGCGGGGTTGTTGCTAATGCAAAGTTGTTTGCCAATGATATTCAAAAGCTAATCATTTGCGAGGCTGTCAATGTTCTGATTTTGGAAATCATTTTATCGATGGAATTATATCTTCTCTTACGAGTTGTCGACCATCTTTTCAAGATCCTTAAAACTGCTTAGATAGAAACTGTTGTGGCCAGCCGCCCTCTACATTCAACTAAGCCTATATCTACATTCAACTAAGCCTATATCATGGGGGCCAGTTTGAGAGAAATGAATGCAGTAAGCTTCTTAAAAATGTGGATATGCTGCAGCAACTTGCTTAGACAAACATGGTTCCCAATATTGTGTGCTTAATTGGAGCATTCAAAAGCTTCATATTAGTTTTCAAGGCTTGCTTTGGATACATCCTTCAGCCGGATTTCGCTGAAAAAATTGAAAATTTAAAAAAGTGTTATCTAATGACAACTGGTGGAAGCGTAACACTTAAAATTCACGCCGTCTTCTACCACATCAAGGAATTCACCAGTCTCAAAGGATCCCCCTTGGAGCCCTATAGTGAACAAACTGTCAAAACTTCTCATCAAGATTTTTATCAACATTGGTCGAGGTATAAGCAAAATAATAATCATCCAGAATACAAAAAAAGATTGTTGCGCTGCATAATTGATCTAAACAGTAAGCATCTTTAAAGAACATCATTTGAGTTATTAGAAATTAGGCTGCTGAAATTCATATTTTACGGCGTATAATGAATATTTTCATTTTACGCCGTATAACTGTACATGTACTGATAAAATAATTATAACTAAAATTGTTAGTATTACATAGTAGAACACTCATGTAATCATTATTTTAAAAATAGTCGGTAACGCTTTGAGGTATAAGTAGCAAAAAACTTACAAAACTTCAACCAAAACTGCAATAAATCCTATACCAGTCATTTAATCAGGCTGAAATTTCATCCAGAGTTTGGTGTGACTATTGGCTACATTTGCACCAATTTTTATCAAATTATATTGAGTGGTTCCACTGATCTTAAAATATAACTGGATAGCGTATACGGCAAATTTCTTGAAACCAGGGTGAGAGGATTCACCAAACTTTCGTAATTCATGCGTAGCTCAACTAAGGTTACGGAAATCGTAAGTTCAGCGTAGTTTTGGTATTCACCAATGTTTCGCAGCATTTCCGTAAAGTTAGGGTTGCGCACGAGTTGCGCCAAACTTACGCAAAAACTTACGCAAAAATCAACCAAGTTAATTTTTGTTTGAATAAACCAAGTTTTCGTAATTTTATAAAACAAACTTTTCTAATATTGAATTCATATAATTTCTAACTAATTTAAATTAGGGGTTATTACTAATTAACATTTTTCACACCCTAATAAAATGACAATAATATTTTTATAAACTTTGCTGTAAAAACTAAATACTTTTTATTGAATATTTGTTTTAAAAAAAAAAATTATAAATATTAGGAAAATAGTTTCAAGTTGAAAAGAGGTAGAGAGGGTTTAGAATTGATTATTCTACAAAGAGGTTATTAAGGGCAGATAAATTTTTAAATTGTTTAATATGCAATTAATAAATAATAAAAAAACTCTCATTTTTTTCATTCATAAATATCATGTAAATTATATATATCCCCATATCCCCTTCAATTTAATAACATAGTTTTAACTAGTGTTATTTGTACAATGCCAAGTCGAATTGGTTGACTTGTGTTAATTAAACCTGAACATAGTGTACATCATCTTCGTTGTTATCCTCAAAGTTTATGTCTTCTGGAATTTCTAATCCTAAAGAATTGTAAAAGTTTTCCAGTAACTTACACTTAAATTATATTTTGCAATATATTGTTTGGGTAAGCATATGTTTAGGAGCACTGAAGTGCTTTACGTCTCTTGTGACATCCAATGGTTTTTGAGATGATCAAAGGATTGCTCCACATCACTATCTATCTGTAGATGAACTTTATTGAAATAGATTTTTTTTAGTGTAGTTGGCTGATTAAATGGTGCAATCATGACTGTTAATAAGCAAAAAGGAAATCTGCATTAGGATTATATTCTAATGTCTTTTTCAATTCAAAAATAGAAAAAAATAAAAAATTATTCTTTTTTTGAATTGACTAGTAGTTTTTACCAATTACTATTTGAAAACTCCCAGCTAATTTAAAAACTCTCAGTTACATTTTTGCTTCTGAAGGAATTGGGTTGCTCCTCAATATGCTTGGTGACAAATCATTGTTAATGTGTTGGCTTTATATACTTCTATATATTTTTATAAAATGAGATTTTTTAACACATTCTACATCAGAGTAATTGTTTAAAGCAGTATATTGAGCTTAACGCTAGATTTGATCTTGACCAAATTAATCAAATTTCTATTTAAACTAAAACAAAATAAAGCTATTAAAACAACTAAATAACTATGATAGTTAAACTTAATGAGACACGTACCATATAACAAAAAACTGTGAAATAGAATATTTATAAAGATATACTTGCTTTTTTGTAAATATATAGTGTTTTATTATTATTTATAAAGATATAGTTGTTTTTTTTATGAATATAATGATTCAGTAATTATATATATATATTACCAAAATCATAACTGCATTATAACAATACAGCATCTTTTAAAATATAATCCAAATAATATAAAATATACTATAATATATTATTTTATATAACAATGTTACTATTATTTTGCATAAGATGTGATGTTATATTAATAATATAATAAAATCTTAATATAAATAAATTAAATACATTAGGTATAACTTAATTAATATAACATCTTAATGGTTGTCATAAAGATGTTATATCAATATTTATTTATAGTATCACATCATGATGCATGTAATTTAAATATATTCGGGCCCTATTATTAATAGGGCCCGAATATATTTAAATTACATGCATCATGATGTGATATTATAAATAAAGATTGATATAACATCTTTATGACAACCATTAAGATGTTATATTATTAATTAAGTTATACCTAATGTATTTAATTTATTTATATTAAGATGTTATTATATTATTAATATAACATATTATTATATTATGATCATATTATTATATTATTATATAATGTTATTATATTATTAATATAACATAATATAGCGTATAATATATATTACAACTATAAGATAATAAATTGATCATATTATACAAAAATATAACAATAATACTATGATATTATAATACACAATGTTTTGGTTTGTTAAACAGTTATATAACTGACAAAAACAAGATGACCTACAAATCTATATATACGCGTGTTTATATATATGCATATATATATATATATATATATATATATATATATATATATATATATATATATATATATATATATATATGCATATATATATATATATGCATATATATATATATATATATGTATATATATATATATATATATATATATATATATATATATATATATATATATATATATATATATATATATATATAAACACACATACACAATCAAACATACATAGATATTCATACAAACATATACATACATACACACACATAGACATACACACCAAACACACATACACACAGTATGTGAATGTATGTATGTCCAGTGCGCGCATACACACATATATGTATATGTGTTTATGCACACGCCTATTTATGCATATGTGTCTATGATACACATATATACATACATACACACATACATACACACACAAACACATACACACATATATGCAAAACACATACATTCATACATATACATACACACATGTATACATATACAAGCATACACACAATACATATACACGATCACACATATACATATATGTAAATAAACATACATAAATAAGTAAACACTTTATACGTAACAAATATCAAGATGTTATTAAGTTGTAAAAATATTATGATGCATTTGTATTTCAAATATAAATGGCATTTATATTTGAAATATAAATGCATCATAATAATTTATAGATAAAATTAATAGATAATAATAATAATCATAGATAATAACACAAATATTATTTGTGTTAATATCTATGATTATTGTTAACTTTATTAGTAGGTACGTGGACTGATTTTTTTAAATTTATCAAATACTAGAATGTTATATATCATTTGAAAGCCCTCAAATACAGTATTTTAAAGGTGAAAAAATTATGAAAATCGGACAATTCTATCAAAAGTTATGACGTTTTAAGTAGCAAATTTTCGATTTATGGATTTCTTGATAAAACTGTGGTCAAAAAAATTTTTTTTTTCACATAAATTGTTATAACTTTGCTAATTCTTATTCAAATATCTATAACTTGGTATTGAAAGATAGGTGTAAAAAAGGGCTATAATTTTCAATTAAATTTTAGGTAAAGGGCGCATCTAGGGATCCGGAGGGGGTGCTAATCCACTACCTACACCTCACAAAAATTCACTTTTTTTTATAAAAAACTGTTTTTCTTTTAAAAATTACAAATATCTATATACAAAAAATTGTTATTATTTTATTCCACATCACTAGTGAATATTACAAGTCTATCTCAAAGTCGGGTGTTGGGTTTTGAATAAGGTTTAACCCTATCAAAATTTCATTCTTTTAAATATTTCAATCTTTACTAAAACAATTAATTTTAGTATAAAAAATAAAAAAAATATTTCGATACTTGGAAAAATAGTAACTAGTGGTGTATAAATTGACTTCATGGAAGGGGGTGTAAGCCGCCCCCCTTCCACCCAATACCTAAAAAAAAGTTTTAATTAGAATTTAACAAAAAAAGTTTATAAATGCTTTTTAAACACATAAAATAGTATAAAAAACTGTTTTACCATGTTACAGTGGTGTATAAATTGCCTTCATAAAAGGAGGTGCAAGCCGCCCCTTCCGCCCAATACTTAAAAAAAAGTTTTTATTAGAATTTAACAAAAAAAGTTTATAAATGCTTTTTAACCTCATATAAAATAGTATAAAAAACTGTTTTACCATGTTACAGTGGTGTATAAATTGCCTTCTTAAAAGGAGGTGCAAGCCGCCCCTTCCGCCCAATACTTAAAAAAAAGTTTTTATTAGAATTTAACAAAAAAAGTTTATAAATGCTTTTTAACCTCATATAAAATAGTATAAAAAACTGTTTTACTATGTTGCAAGACTGCAAATAGATACAACAAGTTTTGTGGCTTGCAAACAAGTACAACAAGTTTTGTGGCTTGCCATTAGGTAAAACAAGTTTGTTGTTGAACTCCAACCTAAAAAAAAACACAAAGCAGCAAGTCTTTTGAAATAAAAAAAAGTAATTAACTATTGTCTTGGCTTTTAGTAAATGATTTATGTTTTGAATTCCATTTTTGAACTGAATAAATCATTTTTAATGATAGACACCATGTGAAGGTAAGCCAGAGCCATCTATCAAAAAAAATTTGCAAGCCACAAAACTTGCTGTACCTATTTCCAAGACACAAAACTTGCGGTACTTGTTTGCAAGCCACAAAACTTGCTGTACTTATTTGCAATTCACAAAACTTGCTGTACCCATTTGCAAGCCACAAAACTTGCTGTACCTATTTGCAAGCCACAAAACTTGCTGTACCTAATTGCAAGCCACGAAACTTGCTTTACCTAATGGCAAGCCACAAAACCTGTTGTACTTGTTTGCAAACCACAAAACTTGCTGTATCTATTTGCAATCCACAAACCTTGAAGTACTTGTTTGCAAGCCACAAAACTTGCAGAACTTTTTTTTCAAGCATTTTTACATTATTTCATATTCAAACTAAGAAAATATTATCTCATCTAATACAACATCAGCAGCTAGCTGGATTTTTTTCATCTTATGCTCAACAGCTTCAATATCAGTTTTGTCTTGTTTTTAGTAAGAAATAGTGTAAATTCTATCATTTTGTCTCTTGCTTACTTTTTCTAGTCTACCATCATAAATGATAGACTTTGATGAGTCAGTATCATACCATTCATGACAGAGTTTTCTGCCAGCAATTCTTTCAGATATCACATCATCTAAATCTTCAAGTTGTTTTGCAGATAAGTGTTTGTATAAATTCATCTTTTCAATGATAGTTAAGATTTCAAAGCATTATGAAGCATTTTATATAAACCCTTACAAAAAAAAAAAAAAAATTAAAAACTTTTATTAAGAATTGGCTTATTTAATATAAAATACTTTTATAAAATATAAATAAGCATTAAAGTTTTTCAAAAACGAAGAACAATCTTAAAAAAATATTTCAATTTATACATTAACCTGCAGAAGATTGTGCTGCAGGAATTTAAAGTTAAAAAATGATGTAAACAACAAAAATAAAATGAAATTGGGATTAAATTTATAGTATAATTTTAATGAGATAGATTATGCACTGCTAACAAAGAAATAGTTTTTTAACATACCAACCAAAGCAGATGTAGATGCAGCTAAAAATCAAAAAAAAATGTAATTAACAAAATAAATGACTTTTTTAGAAAAATCAAAACACTACTGAAAAATATTTAGTTTTTAAACTTACTATTTGTGAAAAGGATGTACTTAACCAAAAAAATATTTGATTTAGGCATTAAATTATTACAGAGATTAAAAAATAATAGCTTTTAAACTTAGTAACTGTAGCAGATATAAATTAAAAAAAGGTGTAACCAAGTAAAAAAGTATTAGAAATTGGCCTTACATACACATATTACATACAAAGTGAACAAAGAAATAGCTTTTAAACTTTCTAAATGTGGTAGATGTTGATGAAACTAAAAGTAAAAAAAAAGCTGTAATCAAAAAGAAAATTGAGTTTGATATTAAATCTATAGTATAGCCATAACAAAAGAAATGATATCGACATCCACAGCAGGTGTCGATAAAGCTTAATGTAAAAAAGGTGTAATTAATATCAAAAAAGAAGGATGTAGATGCAACTAATATCACGAAAAGATGCAATATAAAAATTAACAAAAAAAGTTGAAAATGGGATTAAATCAATACACTACTGAAAAAGAATTGACTCTTAAACTTACCAACTGTTTCAGATGTAGATGGAACTAAAACTAAAACTAAAAACAAAATGGATGTTATCTACAAAAAAAAAAAAGATATTGGCAATAAATCTTTCACAAGTTAAAAAATAATAGCTTTTAAATTTACTAATCACAGTTGTTTAAGAAATGACTTGAGATAAAAAACATATGAATTAAACCAAAGCATACATTAAATTTCTACTTATATAAACATGACCGAAATTGCAATATACAAACTTACCAGTGGAAGGCTGAGTTGATTGGACTAAAATTAACAAGAAAACTGTATATCAAAATAAAAAAAACACCTTAAATTTGACAACAGTAAGTGAATAAGTGACAACAATCAAACAAGTTCTGGATAATGTGCAACAACTTTATTGATAAAGTATATAATGAAAACATAATTACACAAGTAAACATTAAGAAAGGTTGTATAATGATTAAAATAATAAAAGAAAGATTATAAAAAAGATATCTTTTGTATTAAAAAACTTTTAAGGCATCAAAATGTTTATTTTATTATGAATAACATTAAAGATTATATTGTTCATGTCATCCCTATATGTCACTATTATCTATCATATCTATACATCTATACATCACTATCATATCGATACATCTTTACATCACTATCATATCTATACACCTATACATCACTATCATTCCTATACACCTATTTATCACTATCATATCATATCTATACACTATACACTACTTTCATATCACTATACATCACTATCATATATCACTTACGGAATCTCAAAAACTGATGAAATAGTAAGCCTGCATCTAAACAAGAAAGAAACATTAGAAATGTTTGTGTAATGATTTAAACAATAATTATAAGACTAAGTATTATACAATAGATAAATCATAAAAGATTAACATACCAAATGTTCTCAATGTAGACAAAACATAAGGTAAAAAAAATGTAAAGAACAAAACATACATAGTTTTTGCCAACAAATCTATACATAGTTGTTTTTTAAAAAAAGTTTTCAAACTTACCAACCATAGCAGATGGTGACAAAGCTAAAGGTAAAAAAATTAACCAAAATAACTTTGATTTCGACATTAACTCTATACAGATCTGAAAAAATTTGCCACTGGCAGATGTTGATAAAACTAAAAGAAAAATAAAGTGTCATCAAATAAAATAAAAAAAGGTATTAAACTTATAGTATAGCTTTAAAGAATAAGTAGAAACACCTAATAAAAAAATACTTATTTAACTTACCAACTGCATCAGATGACGATGAAGCTAAAGTTAAAAAAGGTGTAATATATATAAAAAAAAAATACACATTTTTGGCAACATAAATAACAAATAAAATAAAGGTGTAAATAACGAAAATTAGGGGTTACTTAAAAAAAAGCATTGAGTAGGTTTTATCTAGTCAATGATTTGACTAGATAAAACCTACTATAAAAACTTGTAAAAGTAATAAACAATAGTATTATTATGGAAAAACATATGAAATTACTATCTGTTTGATTACCCAGTTCATTTATATTATTCATTTTTTTAATTACTAACAATCTAAGTGAAACAATATGCAATAAACATTTTTGAAGAAAAAAAAAACTCTCTCCCCCTCAGCCCCACCTCGGCTATTTTTGAAAACAGAAATTAGGTACCAAAAGTGTTTAACTGAATTAACTAATTGCTACATAATATTTTTTCATGAAATTTGGCAGGTGCAAAAGAAATGCATGTAGAAACTTTTTTAAAAAATCAAAAAAGCGGAATATAGATTCCTTCAACAATAATTGAACAAGTAAACATCAACATAATTTTCATGAGCAAAATAGTCAAAAAAAAGGTATGACAATCATGTAAAAAAGTAACACAAAAAACAAGCCTAACTCTTCTTCTTTCTGAAAATATACTATGTGTATATACGTTTCTGTAAAAAAAACCAACAAAAAATCGTTTGCCTAACCCTACTCAAAATAATGAGACGGGAAATCCGCTAAAAAAAAATCGGAAAAACAGAAATTAGGTACTAAAAGTGCTAAACTGATTTAACTATCTGCTACACAATATTTTTCAATAAAATTTAGAATGTGCAAAGAAAATGCATGTAAAAACTTATTTTGAGAATCAAAAAAGCGGAATAAAGAGTTCTTCGACAAGAATTTGACATGTAAACACCAACCTATTTTTCATGAGCCAAATGCTCCAAAAAATGGTAAGACAACCGTACGTAAAAATAACATAAAAAACAAGCTTAACTCTTCTTCTTTCCAAAAATATACTATGTTTATATATGTTTCCGAAAAGAAACTTCTCAAAAATACGTTTGCCTTAGGCCACCTAAAAAAAACGTCAAAAAAACGAGTCACAGAATTTTAGCACAAAATTCGGCTCCGTAAATCGTACCTATTATTAGAGTATATAAAATTTATATACATGAATTGTATATATTATAATAAAATTCTATATCAATCTGACAATATATGAATCATAATAATATTACACTATTTCTAACATTTAGTTATTTTAACTTAACGCCAAAGTTAAGGCAGCTAATAGCAAACGTAACTTTTCTTGCTTAAATTGAGCTGAGCAAGTTCATAAAAAGTTTGGTGAATACCATTTCAGCTTGGCGAATACCGATTTTTTAGCACAGAAGTTACGAAAAAACTTACGTAAGTTTTGTTTAACGCAACTGCGCAAATTTTGTGAATACGGATTTTGCTGTTTTGAACTTACGCCAAACTTACGCAAAAAAAAAGTTTGCTGAATACGCTCCCAGGTTTGGCCTCCCAAGATGGCGGCGTATTTAGTTGATTACAAGTTGAAAAAATTTAGTTACGAACTTTTATATCTTTTTTAAATGAAAATAAATGTATAAGCCTCAAATACAAATATAGTTTTCGATTTTACATAGCAAATATTTTAACAAGAAACAAAATATTATATATATTTTAAAAAGAAAATTGCTAAAATATATATAATATTTTGTTTAACAAAATACACTCTTAATAATTAGTTTGTATAATATTTTTCTTTTTTATATAAAACTTAATTAATTGAATAAAGATAATTAAATAAAATAAAGATAAAAATTTTTAGTTAAATAATTAAAAATTAGTTTATTTAACATAAGTAAGTACGCACTAGAAACTAGTACTATACCTAGAACTAGTGATGTAAATTTTCCAGTAAAATTTGATTCAAAATTTACCGGTAAATATACCGGTAAATTTTAATTAGAGAACGGTAAATTTTCCTTTAAAAAATCAAAAAAAAAAAAAAAAAAAGTGAAAAAAATTTTTAAAATTTACCAGGCGGTAAATTTTAAAAATTTTCCGGTAAATTTACCGGAAAATTTTCCGGTAACTTTTACCTTCGCAACACTACCTAAAACCTAATAGTTAACTATTAGGTTCCACTAATATATATAACTAGTTATAATCTATTAGCAGAAGTAAAAAACAAATAAAAACCTAGTAGTTATCTAATTCAAAAGTTGCCAAACAACTTTAAATGTGAAAAGTCGAAACAATTTTATTTTTTATTTATATTTCATTTATTTACTTTTAATTTTAGTTTTACCATAAATTAATTGTTTAATATTGTTTTTTATACAACTTATGTACCTTTTAGTTCTTAACTACCCAATGCTGTGTGCTAGAAGGTTAATAACACAGCTGCGTGGTAAGCAGCTGAATATCTTTTTAAAATAAATTATTATAAATTAGTTTTTCAAATAGATATCACAAATTTACAAATGCTGCATAAACTATTAGCTGAGCTCTGTGAGTACACACAACTCAAGGGTTCCTCCTAGAATTTATAGATATATATATATGTGTATATATATATATATATATATATATATATATATACATATATATATATATATATATATATATATATATATATATATATATATATATATATATATATATATATCCTTATAGTGTAGTCGAAAGAGTCTTTTAATGTAAAAAAAGTCTCTTTCGACTACAATTTTAATTACCTCGTCTCTAGGATATATATATATATATATATATATATATATATATATATATATATATATATATATATATATATATATATATATATATATATATATATATATATATATATATATATATATATATATATACTTGAGTTAGTACTGATTAATATTTTATTTGTTCGATCAATCGTCTAAAATTTTAATCGATTAGTCGATTAATTTTGATTAATTCTGAAGTCGACAGAATAACCTGCTTTTCACCACTGGTAAGGTGAGGTTGTTATCGGTAAACGTTAACTAACTACAGTATTCACAAACGTTAACAAACAAGACACTTAATGCCTGCTATACTGTATTCAGTTTAATTGACAAGTACAAGTAGGCATCACTTTAGCCAGTCACGTAAACAAACGAGGACGTTAACGTTTTCTGAAAGTAGACAAGATCGCAGTTTGTTGACAATGTACCCTGACGAACTAAACAGTCTTTCACAAGGAACAGAAGTGGCAGGTACACAGAGAATTGTCTGCACAAAACTGCTCAGGTTAGGTTAACGATGTTTGTTCAGTTGCCACCACATGAGGGGATTCTCAGTTTCTGGAATGACACCTTCTTCTTAATATCGTGTAAGCTCAGCCAGCGATGTACTGTTTGTGATTCATCTGATGATGCGATTCCGAGTCGCTGACCAACAGAGTAAGTTTCAGTTTCTTACGCACAGGTTCTTGTGACTCGCCAGTGCTGGTAGTAGTTTCACGTTCAGCTCTCTGTCTTTGTTCACAGTACACCCGAAATGCATTAGAAAGTATTGTCCAAACTGCTTCACGTTTCTCTCTTGAGAGACAGCCGAGTTTCTTGTAACGTGGGTCTAATGCCACAGCCATTTGCAATGTTGGCAATGCATCAATGTTTTCAATGCGACCTGAGAAGTCATTCAGTGTTGCAGATTTGAAACGTGCTATATACCCTGGATCGTCATCATTAACCCGCAGAAGTCTGCGCAAAAATGCTTCTAACGGAAGTACAGCCGAACATGTAGCATACTGTTCACTACCAATATACTCAGTAGCATCTGCAAGTGGACCCAATACCGAGACAAGTTTTGACATTTTGTCCCAGTCCAACTCCGTTAGTTTATCTCCAGTGTAATTCTTGGGATGGTCAATATGATACTGCTTTATGGCATCATTCACTTCCAGCAATCTGGCTAACATTAGGTAGGTACTGTTCCACCGCGTAGCTACAACCTGCTGCAATTTGTGAAACTTCACATCGTCAGACCTGTTAAAGGTACTGGCTTAGCTAGCCTTTATCTCTGATGTATTCCTTGAACTGCGCTTAAAATATCCAACTAGGTGTCGACATTTAGCCAGAATAGGAGATGAATCAGCTGCTTTCAAACCTGCAAGTATGCTCAGTTGAAGACTATGTGCAATACACGGTATATGGCTGTAATCCGTCCGTCCTATAGCAGCAACCATATTTCGTGCACTGTCCATTACGATACAGCTAATTTTTTCAGCAATGTTCCACGTTGCGGCAAACTCTTCATAGAAACTGGCAACATTATCAGCAGTGTGCCTTTCTTCAACATTTATGCAGGCTAAAGCGACAGACGTCAGTTTCCACTCAGAATCAATCCAATGACCTGTTATCCCACAGTACGATTTATTGTTGGTGGAGATCCAAAAGTCAGTAGTTAGAGCAATACTATGAATGCATTCTAGAGCTTTCTTATGCTTCTCATTGTACATCTCTCCAATGGCAGTGTCGATTGTACGGCGACTGGGAAAATGTAAATCTGGTTTTGAAGGGCAATACGAAGCACCGCCTCTAGTCCTGCATCTTCTACAATTGCTTACGGACGTCCAGAACTGGCAATCCAATGAGCTATTGCCACCTTGAGGTCGGTTGAGACCTTTTCACTGACAGGCTTGTTTGACTGACACGTAAAGAAATTGGTGATTGATTTTACCTGAGGGGTCATCTTACGTTCACTGTCGACAACCTGTTGATATTTCAGAGGATGCTTGTGCTGAAGGTGATAAGTCAGCGATGTGTTTTAGCCACGGAAAGCGAACTGTTTATTGCAGTGAACGCAGTATATTTTGTCACTTTCGTCTACTTTACTATCAGCATTCAACTTGAAAACAAAATGCTTGCTTAACTTTCCAGTTAAATGTTTGACAGAAACGTTGCTTTCATTAGTTGCCGCCGCCATATTTGCGAAACAAACTTTGTTTACTTTAGAAACGGATATAGAAATGAAAGATAATGATAATATTCCCAGGTCAGTAAGTATTTTAAAATATAACAAAATTTTTAGTCGAGATATTCAAGATACTCGCTTTCAAAAATAATTTTATATTTATCGAATACTATTGAAAAATTCTAAATTTAATACTCTTTTTTGTCATGGCTATTGACTTTGAAACAATTGATTTTGAAAAGTTGCGTTTAAACGTTTTTAAAACTTTTAAAACTGAAAATAACTTCTTTGCGAATGATTTTTATGATAACGATATATTTTTTTATAAATTTTAATGCTTAACATTTATCAAATTAACATATACCAAAATATATTGTTCATGCTAAAATTTAAATTAGGCCAAGTACCATACCACTTCACAAATAATTTCTTTATAAATAACGTTAATAAATATAATAAAAGAGAAACAGGTAACTTTATCATACCATTCAAAAAAACAAAACTCTCCCAATTTTCTATTTCATATCGAGGTCCTTTTTTATACAACAAACTAACAACCAAAAATAAATCTATTTGTGATCTAGATAACCGAAACTCATTGAAAACAAATTTAAAAATTCAGATTATGAATTTAAACGAATTCTCTGAGTTTTTCTAGCAAATTGCTAAGTGAACTGATTGTTCATGTGTATTATCGAGCTTACACACGCCTTTTTTAAACACAACACAATAAAAGAGCTATTTTTTCAAAAGAAAAATTCCCTTGAATTTTTCTACTAATAATTTTTAGTTATTATCTTGCATCTTGTTTTTGTTAATTTTTATTTTATCTTGAGTTTATTCTAATTGAAGAATATTAAAGTTAACTTTAATATTTCGAGTAGTTTTAATACAATTAG